AAAGAAAGAAGGAAGGAAAAAAGAAAGGAAGGAAGAAAGAAAAAAGGCAAAAAAGAAAAATGGGTGGGGAGGAATAGACAAGGACATTAGACAGAGAAGCAGAGCCACGTCAGGTCTTCCCTCTGTGATGGTTCCATTTCTCCCCTTCACTGTGCTACAGCCCTGCCAAGGGAGTTCCCTTGGCTATGAGAACAATTACTCAGGGCTCCACCAGCAGCTAAACATAAGCCAAGTCAGCATATTTGCATAACACTCTGATGACTGTTAGTGTGTCCTCTTTCCTGGTGCCAGTGACAGGGTCCTGAGAAGAGCAGTCAGCATTACTCCTTTAGTCTCCCAACATGGGGCAAACAACTACCCTTGCTTAACCCCTTACTATGTGGTCCTGGGCAGGTTTCTTTTTTTTTTTTTTTTTTCTATTGAGACAAAGTCTTGCTCTGTCACCAGACTGGAGTGCTGTAGCACGATCTCGGCTCGCTGCAACCTCTGCCTCCCAGGTTCAAGCAATTCTCCTGCCTCAGCCTCCCGAGTAGCTGGGATTACAGAGGTGCGCCACCACACCCAGCTAATTTTTGTATTTTTAGTAGAGATGGGGTTTCACCATGTTGGCCAGTCTGGTCTCGATCTCCTGACCTTGTGATCTGCCCACCTCAGCCTCCCAAAGTCCTGGGATTACAGGCGTGAGACACCACGCCCTGCCGGTCCTGGGCAAGGTTCTTATCTTCTTTGTGCCTCAATATTCTAAGCTATAAAATGGGCACGAGCCTAGTGAGCCTTCATAGGTTTGTGGTGAGGAATACATTAGTTAACACAAGTTAACTGTTCGAACCTTGCCTGTCAGATAGTAGGCACTTATAACTGCTTGTTATCATCATTTTTCCTTTGTTCTTGGCTCTGTACAGGGTATGGGTGACAGAGAAATGCATCAGCCTTATTCCCTACTTGGGCTGCATTCATGATCTAGTGAAGGAGACAAACCCTGGATGGAGGTACTTGTTTGTAGTCCTACCTACTCACAAGGTTGAGGCAGGAGGGTCGCTTGAGTTCAGGAGTTCGAGGCTAGAGTGAACTGTGAAAAGCACTGCACTTTAGCCTGGGTGATAGAGAGAAACCTTGTCAAAAAACCAAAAAAAAAAAAAAAAAAAAAAACAGGGATAGTGGAGGGAGGAAGGTTAGGGGAGTGGGGAATACAGTTGGTGGGTATTGTTTAGGCAACCAAAAGAGAACTTCACGAGGGAAGTGGGTTTTGACCTGTGCCTGGAAGGTCAGATGCAATTTTGACATTAGGAAAGAATGGACTGGGCCAAAAGTGCTGTGTGTGGCCAGGACGCAGAGCAGGATGGAGATGAGACTGGAAAAAGAGCTCATCGCTTTGTGAACCTTGGTCTATCTGACACCAGCCAGCAGCTCTCTTTCCCCCATCTGGGTCTACAACTCTTCCTCCACGCTAGCTGAAATGCCTTCATCACAAATGATCTCGGCCGATGAATATGTACTAGTCACCTGCTGTGTGCAAAGAGCCATGTTCAAAATAGAAATCTGCCCTGGAGGCTTCTGGTTATCAGTCATTCCATCTGGCTATCAATGCATTTTAATGGCTAGTGACTTCCTAATGCCTAGCTCTATTCTGCTTTGAGAAATGGGAACTTTTATTCTAGAAAAGGGTAGGCCAGGCACAGTGGCTCACACCTGTAATCCTAGCACTTTGGGAGGCCAAGGCGGGCGGGTCATGAGGTCAGCTGGTCTCATTTAGAGACCAGCCTGACCAACATGGTGAAACCCCATCTCTACTAAAAATACAAAAATTAGCCAGGCGTGGTGGCGCGTGCCTGTAGTCCCAGCTACTCGGGAGGCTGAGGCAGGAGAATCACTTGAACCAGGAGGTGGAGGCTACTGTGAACCGAGATTGTGCCACTGCACTCCAGCCTGGGTGACAGAGTGAGACTCTATCTCAAAAAAAAAAAAACAAAAAAAAAAAACGAAACCCCATCAAAAAAAAAAAAAAAAAAAAAAAAACTGACTTCCTTCGTAAAGCCCCCTGCCCCCATGCTAGCTGTCTAATCAATACCTACCACCCTGATTCCCCACTTCCTTAATCTTTCTCCCTCCACTACCCCTGGCCTTCTTGTTTGCTAACAGAACTACCATTTTTTTGTTAATTATTTTTCTTATTCTTTTGAATGTTGAGTGTTTGTCTTTTCTGATCCAACTGCCAAGCTCTTTATATATTAAGATACTAAGGTAATATTAACTACTGATTATTATTCCTCCAGGGAAAGCCATGGAGACTTCGGGATCCTCCTCCCAGCCTCAAGACAACAGTCGGGTCCACAGAGAAACAGAAGATCTAGACTGTATGTTTGCCTTCTCTGATCCTCTGGGCAAAGCCACATGGGAGGTAGAGTCCAAAAGTAGAAGGGACAGAAGAAGACCCTGCTCCCCTCATGTTGCACAGGGCCTCAAATCACAGTTGAAATGGAGAAGTGGTGATTTTACACACATCCACACACACATGTGCATGGTCCAGTCTGTCCTCCTGTGCTGTCTAACTATGGGGACCCTCAGCTGCTTGCCAAATCTCAAGAATACTCTGGGGCTTGGGCTGACACTAGGGAGCACCCCTAGAAGGTGGAGAGGGTCTTGTGTGACCCCAGAATGGGGAATGGGAAGGTTTAGGGCTTCATAACACACCATCTTGACTGTAATTTACAGAGGATCCTAAATTGGCAACTACAGAGTCTAGCTGTCTCTGGGCAGGGTAGGGAGTTTAGAAACCCCTTTTCTGGAATCCGTATTGAGATAAATCTCTGTACTGAGCCTTCCTTGAGCCCCGGCATCTCTGAGAGCCTTGGTCTCCTGCGTGTTGCATTGGCCCTAGATGTCTGGGAAGATAATCCAGTCCTTCTTGGCTCCCCAAGTCCAAGTAGAACCCTGGAGGGGGCTGGGTGGTCCCTGGGGTATGAAGGATGGGAAACACTCATCCCCTGGCCTCTGTGTGCCTTGCAGGTGGAGAGACAGATTTCCACAAGCAAGACAGGAAGGCTGGACTCTTTTCCCAAGAACAGTATGAGAGAGACAAGTCTTCTTCCTCTTCTTCCTCTTCCTCCTCATCTTCCTCTTCTTCCTCCTCCTCCTCTTCAGGTATAGCGAACATTTAAATATATGTATATTATTCAAGAAAAACATTTACATGGGGAAACAACCCCCCATACTTCAGGTCATGGAAGTACTTGAAACTCCATTACTGTTTCTTCACATTCTTTTCTAGAGCCCATCTGTCTACATGTGCTTCTATGTACACAGTTATAATTGATCATATAGGCAATTTGTTCTCCATTTAAAATTTTCTTCATCTTATCCCAAGCTTTTTTTTTTTTTTT